GGAACTCCGGGCAGAGCTCCAGAGGCTGGGTCGCTGGCGGGGATGCTGGCGGACGGCCGTCGGTGGATGGACTTTTGGGGGACGAAAACATCAAGGTTGTGCCGGTCCAGTTTTACAGTATGTGTGGCCGGGAAGGGGCTCCGAAGGGCCGAAAGCACTGGACGAGGGAACCGGCCCGTGGGCACCGGCCAGTGGTCAGAGCCAGACATTCAGCATGAATGTATGGTCGAGTTGGGTGTATCTCAAAGTCAACCTTTTTTTGGCCCAAAAGTCCGAACGAACTCCAGCAGGGAAGCGGCTGGAAGACGCTTCGCCGCATCCGTTCGCTTGTTGTTTTTTTGATGGTTTTTGGAGCTTTCACCACTGGTCGCAGCTGACTGGTGCATCAGAGTGCGCAGCATGCAGGACGCCAATGGCCACTCCACCATTTGCGAAGGCGTGTGGGGTGAAGACCCCTAACAACCTCATTGGGAGGGTCGAACAAATCATAAAGACCTGCGATTAGGGGGTCGTTGTTGGTTCGTTTCTAAGAGACGTTTCTCTATGAAGCGAAAAAAGACATGTGTGACATCAGTGGAAAGTGGGGGGGGCCCTTCCAGCATCTTCCAGCACTACTCTGGAGGAGTGGCCCGAATTGGTGTGAATTGGTGAGCTGTGTTGGGTTCTGGGATCATCCTTGAGATTTTTCTGCACAGCAAAGAGAGAATCTTCCCTGCCAGGGGTTTCACCACTCTTCCGTCTCCAAAAAGCTAACATAGAATCAGCAACTAAGCCGCTAACATCCGCTAATCATTACTACTCCATTTTGGTTTTCAGGCTTTTGTGTCATCAAGGACATTAACATTTGGAACACTGAAGAGTAGCATTAGCAGTTCCCTACTGAATGTGCAAATTGAACTGTTCCATGTGTTATCATGCTTTTTATCTACTTGACTTAAGGGTGCACTGTTGTTTCCTTTATTATTTTTTGTCTTTAAACAAACTGCACCGGACTGTAAACATACTGAAGCAAATCTTCTACAGGCCACACTACACGCACACAGTCAGTACACAAACATTTATATATATATATATAAATAACGTATATATATGTATATATATATATCTATTACACATAACAATGGATCCCCTCCAAAAGCCATCGTTTGGAACAGCACGCCGGTCTTCCATGCAGGTTCCTTTTCCCCAAAACCCGACTCTTTTGGGTCCCAGCGGTCCTCACAGGTGGAGGATGGCCGGGGCAGGCCTGTCCCGATGGAAGTGTCGCGTGCGCGGAAGAGATGGAAAGGGTTTCAGGGACGCGAAGGACGAACTGGGTTGGTGACCATGGTGGAAGGGGGACTTCTTCGAGTTGATGTTGGGTTGGAACCGGCCGGGGAGGAGATGAAGTTCCTCCAACCTCCCCGCGCTTCCAGTCGACTCGAAAGCCGGCCAAGACTCGCGGGCGCTCCCTGCTTTGGATCTGGGAGCGATCTTAGGAGGGTTTTTCAATGAACCAACTACCAGGACCAGGACCTTCAAAGTGACCAAACTTGAGATGCCAAGGTCACTTGGGCCTGCAAAAGGTCAAATATAGAGACTCCAAAGAGGTCACTTGGAAGGTCCTGGCAGCAGTTTGTTTTTTTCCATTCTTTTGCACCGCTAAGAAAGACGTGGCTCTTCCCTCATCCCAACTCTTTGTGGCATGAGTGGCCCAAACACCAACGTGACTTCTTGAAGTGGAGGTTTCGTGGGATGTCCAGAACCAACCGCTGCGAAGTCTGATTGCAGTGATTTTGATTGGCAAGCAGCTCGGTACCGGAACATGGGTCAATTAATTTGGTTCTATCTTCAAGATGAGTTAGGTATCAATCTTTTTGATTTCTTCAAGCAGGATGTTCAGACTGGTGCTTCATTCCCTGCTAAGCACCCGTCAGTTTTGTTTTACTTTCGGTCGCATGGTCGAGTTTGCACGGAGGCCGCAGATCTGCATGTTGGGCCCACACACTTACAAGAAGCAGGTGAGTGGGGAGATCTGTGGCGGTGTAGCCACCGTGGGTTTGGAGTGTTTCGTTCCAATCCCAAGAGGTCTCGTTTTGGGAAATGGACTCCCACCCTTCAGATCCATCTGACGTGGCAGCGATGGGAATCACTGAGTGGGAACCCCCCAAAGCTCCGCGGGACGTGGAAAAAGGGGGGGGCCGCGAATTAGTTGGTCGGCTTCCAAACCCATGGGAGACCTGTCCAGCAATGCTGGGAGTTTGGTTGATGGCTGATGCCTTTTCTTCGAGAGCTATCCAGAGCTACCTCAAAAACACGTGCTCAGCTCATGGACCAACCAAGGCTGGGTCAAACTCTGGTCTCCCTGGCAACCGGATGTCCCCGTAAGCGAGTGCTTGAGAAAGGGTAAGCAACTAAACATGGCCAAACCAATGAATGCATTCTCCATGGGGGAGTTGTCCTTCCCGAAGTTGCGCTGACACCAATTGTCAGGACCAACTGTGAGGGACGCTTCTTGGCATTTGTGGGAAGACAACACGTGTCCTAACCAGTGTACCAGGATGCCCTATTAGCCTACAGCATTAGTATGTCCTTTCCTGCATAGGTCAAAGATCCTGGAACTTGTGCCGCCTTTTCGCGGATGCGTAGCTGGTCATTTCTACAGCCGCTTGTTTGCCCGAGTCTTGATGGCCAATATGGTCGGAGTTTGTCCCCGAACCTTCATGGCCGCCATCGTCGGCAGGAGCAGCAGGTCAGCGTCTTCCCAGTGCTGGACCCCTCTCAGGCGTGGAAGGTTCGGATCCAGTCGACCCTGTGAGTGGAGGTGTAGAAGGGTTGCATGAATGGTACAAGTAAGACGGTTGAAAGCCAGGGGGGTTTTAGCGCCGACCTTTGAGAAGGAATATGGTCCACACCTAGTAGCCCAAGTAGAAAATGGGGGATATAAAAGAGTATATATGAGGTTGGCTTGGAACCCAACCGAATAGGTGTGCCGAGTCTGCCCAGTTCCGGAAGCAAAAGCAGAAGGGGCGCTGGTGGGATTTTAACATCAACCAACCAACAACGTGACCGTACTCTTCTCAACTCCAATAACCACCCAAAATCTCTGGTGCTGGCAATGCACCCGAAATCTCTGTTGGCCATTTCCAAGAGGGCCCAAAATCGGTCACTCGTGAATTTTTCGCTGAGGCGCCCAGGCGCCTCATTCGGAGGATTCTGAGGCTCCAAAACCTCCACCCGCGGCCCAAATCAACAGGGCTCGGCCTGTTCGCCGGGTCCAATCTTCGCCAGTCGGGGAGATGGGAAGCCGAACTCTCCCATGACCACCCCAAAGAGTCGATTTGGCCTATCTAACTAACGGGTCATTGTTAGATGCCCCTTACAAAACCCTAGGATTGACTGATACTTGATCTATCCATTCACCTGGTCTTGGGGTGACGACTGACCTCATAAAGACCCCCAAGCATGACATGTCCTCAGCGCAAAAAGCGACCGCTCAGCGGTGTCGGCTCGCAGGAGCGCGTGGTGCCTCTGGCCAAGTGCGCGATCTATCGAAAAGCACCTAAGCTTCACTTAGCGGTGGCATTGGTATGGCGCTGTAAGAAGGACAGCCAAAAACACGCGACTCTTAAAGTTGGCCCCTGTGCCTGGCCCTTGGTCAGAGGACTGGGTGGCTCTAGTTCGGAGCGTTGCGAAGGGTTTTTCTGTAGAAAGGGTTTACATTACAAAGCTTCATTACTACATTTGAGATTTATATATTTGCAGATTGTAGGTATGCCAGAAGTACATTTGCAGCTTGCAGGTCTGTGTTACCACATTTGAAGTTCATCTGCAGCTTGCATTTGAGACTTTTATATCTGCGGAAGTAGGTACAGAAGTACATCTGCAGCTTGCTTCAGTAACATACCTTGCTGGATCTTGCTGCAGCAAACCACCTCGATGTCACTTTCATCTGGGCTCCACTGCCACCTGAAAACCCAGTCCCAGTCTCAGAAACACAATGGATGTGGAACCCCCAATCCCAGCCCCACAACCCATGTGAAGGGTCTCAAACCATCTCTAACTATATTTCTTTTAGGTTGGGACGACCCAGTCCTCTCTTGTCCAGGCTTCTAGAGGATGAGGTTAGGTACATCTCCAGAACCCTTCTACAGGCTCGACGCACGACTGGGCTCCAAACAGTCAACTCCACCCCCACATGACCCATCACCCTTGCCTTCGCTCAGGGGAGCCTCGCGTGAGATCGCCGGAACATGCGTGCCAAGAAGCGTCCAGCGTTCCCCAGAAAAGCGCGAGCATGCTTCTACCGGTGGTCGAAACAGAGGCGTTGGGGAAAAACCATCGATTGGAGGCTTAACTGAGCAGCCTTCATAGCAAAGAAATTCAAAACTTTGGAATCCTTCGACTCTTGGTGTGTCGGCCCAGCTTGGATACCGGGCCTCGTGCCAATGAACAGTAGGTTGGGATACGACTGAAACCATGGGGCATTTTCCGTTTGGGTGTGATGTCCCGAAAACCCCGAGTTTTGGTGGCAAAAACGGGTCGACCAATTTTCCAAATGAGGCCTTTCTGCCTTTCTTAGCTACTTTCCAAATCTGGACATATCGCCCTAGGTCCCTAGGTCCAATTCCAAAGGGGCAGATGAGTCCCTCGACCACCATGCGGGCACGCGTTTTCTTGCGGCCTGATGTGGGCCAGTGGTGTTGAGACATTCAGTGGCTCTAGAGGCGGAGTTGGGTGTACGGCTCTGGAAGAAAGGATTGCCCCCAAAGCCGCAGTGATGGCCGAGCCTTTCAGACGTGTCTCGAGAATCCCCTTGATTGCAGATGGTTCACCCGGAAACCCCCACTCATCCGAATTAACACCAAGAAGTCTGGTTCCAACGTCCTGACAGTAGGGTGTTGCTGAAAAAGAAGGAAGCCGTGTCCTTCAACAACTTGATTTGGAACCATCACTGAAGATACAACTTGGAGGAAGTCGGGACGGCGGGGTGCTGTATATCTCACATCCACTCACGAGGATGGGACGAGCCTTTCCTCCACCCCGAAGAAACAGCTCTTCCCACAGCCCTCGCCAGCGGCCATGGCGCGCTGGCGCCTGCGGCTGGAGGACTTCGGGCGGCGCCAGGCGGGGTGTTTCGGAGACCGTCCGCGGGGTCCGTTCGAAGGGATTCGATCCGAGGAGGAATCACTGGGCAGCGGACTCTGTGAAGGTGGAAAAAGGTCATCACTGGCAACCAAGACATATTTAACAACCAGGTCGGTGCTCTCAAACGCTGTAGATAGACAGGTCCACCTCTTTTGAATGCGGGTGGAGACCTAGGGGCGGCGGACCGTCGGGGGCGACGGGCGACGAGATGGAACCCTTGGGAACCTGGGAACCGGAAATCGCTGTGGAGGCAGTGGTCATTCCATTTCTTTTTCCTACCGATGTTGTACTGGTTTTTTGGCATATACAGCAGGGCTTCTTTTTTTGCCGCACATGTCTCTCTGTGTGTGGGGTTGGACAAGCATCCAATCATTGCAACCTCACTGGTCGTATGTACGGTAACCGGTATGCTGGCTCGGAACCGGTCACTGCTTGGACGAACCGGTCGGCTTGGAACTTGGAGCACTTCGGTCACCAACAGCAGACGCTCCACCAGAGGCTCCCAACAGTGAGGAACTCAACCTCCCCCACCAAAACCATCGGAGGTTGACCTGGCCCAGGGTGCCCCAGGTGCCATGACCCAGCTGGCCAAGTTCCCCTGTCGCATCGCTGCAGGAGGGTCCTACTGCAATGAGCGAGGCCTGGCACCAACCGCGCTGGGCAGCCTGTGGGAAAGCCAAGGGAGGCCTGGCACTCGGCCGCATACGGTGCGGTGTGGGCGGTGAGGGAGATGGGGCGATGGAATCTGGAGAAGCCCAAACAGCTTGGCTTTGGATCTTGGATCTTTGGGCTTTGTGTTTTGCATTGGAAGATGGAAGGGTCCTCCAAAAGAGTACACTGAGTGCAGTTTGGAGTTCATGTCAGTCTTTGTTTTTTTTTTAGCAACAGTTGTTTGATGCAAGTGCCTTTATTTCTGGCTTGGTTCTTTCTTACAGCGTCTGATTAGGGCCATAGGGCCTAGTGCATGCTCCCACATCACTCAAAAGCCCACGCATGGGACTCGTGTGTTTGAAAACGCTCTGTCATCGGCTTCACACGCCACCCTGGGACTGGTGGAAATCAGCTCAATGGCACTCATGACCAGGCGATGACGCCGAGCGGCCGCTCAGCAGCATGTCCACCCGCTGCCCCTCCACGCGCGGCGCCACGCCCGCGCCGCCCGCGACGCCCGCGCTGACGCCGCGCACCGGGACGCCGGGCGCGTCGCCGCGCACGCCCAGCCCGATCCCACAGGCCCAGGGGAGGGTGAAGTAGGTTTCGACTTGGCTCGACGGCTTGGCTTCAAGAGGGAAGACCTTTAAGGTGTGGATTGGAGTCAAAAGAATGTGGGCTAGGAAATGCAGGACAGGACCAGGTGGTTTCTGTCACCAGAAAACACCTGTTGGAGGGTCCAGGTCCACCTTTTGTGAACTTCGATGGAGAAGTACACTTGGAGGGTCACGACGAACGCAGGGTCAAGAGGCTACCAGCAGTTCTTTGTCGGTGGGGTTTTCACTCCATGAGTGGATGTTCTGGACACCCCGACGCTGCTCGCTACTCTTGGAGCGGCTTTGTTTTCTTTGGAACACTGCAGAGACCTCCTCTGCAAACTAACATGGAACCGAATTGGCCGGTGGTTTCGACGAAGTGTCCTCTACAACCCAGTGGTTTTGGGGTTCGTGGTCCGAATAGCAGGGGACGATGGATCGAGCCCGGGCGCACCGCGGCTCCAACGCACGGCTCCAGGGGCTCTCAAGCCCGCCACCGCCGAGCGTCCGTGCAGGAGGGGTAGGGAGGAGGGGACGAGGAATCCGAAAGCGAGGTGGAGCGACCTCACGGACGTGGTCTGACGTGGTTTGTTTCTGGTGGTTTTCTGGTGTGGTTGGCTAGACTAGACTCCTTTTGAAAGAGATCACGTTTGCTAGGGTCCCATCCAAAAAACCATGGACAAGTGGATCGAACATGGCATTTTTTGTCGTCTAACTCTCCTCAGACCAGCGTGGAAGCTGGCAGCATCTTCCCGTGGAAAAACCACGGAGTGCCACACTTCTTTCAAGATCTCTGGTTTTAATGCAATGTGGGTGCACAGTTCATGTGTGACGTCGAACAATCGGATCTGAAGCCAAGTCTGAGGGGGGTCCCGCTTTTAAAACCAGCCACAACACTTTGATCATCCATGGATTCTGGTCGGTTTTCTGTAGTGCTCAACTGCAAGATATGCCAATGGTAGTGAAAGTTGAATTTCTGGAACTTTCGCGGTTTGGAACGGGCCCCGTTCCAGTCTGGGAACGACTTTGGGCCTCGTGGCCCTACAACACTTTCCCCTCGCAGAGTGGTGGAGATGGGGCAGGAACTTCTAGGGCCAACTGCCCCCAACATTCTTGTTTATAATTTATAATAGCTTCTTGTTACTAGCAGTAAGGCCAGGAGCCCCTAGTAGGCTCCTAGTAGTAAGGCCAGGAGCCCCTAGGCTGGCCACTCTTGGCCATCAAATCTACCCGCTCCGCCTCTGGCGCCCCAGTTGGTGATGCTTGTCATGAATGAGTCATCCACGGGAAAAGAAAGGACAGCCCTTCTGAGAGCGGTCCACAGGCGAGTCACATGCGACCCGGTCATAACCCGTTTAGACTCGGTCGTTGTGTTCGGCCGCCCCTCCGGAAGAAAGAGGCGATGAGGGGTGGAGAGCTGTGGGCCGTCTACAGACGTCTCAGATTGGACTTGAAATCTTCATCAATGCTCCAGTTCCATCCAGTTCCCAACCTCCTCTCCCATCCAGTTCCATCCTCCAGTTCCATCCAGTTCCATCCAGTTCCCATACCTTTTTCGTATATATTTTTGGTGGTCCCAACCTCCTCTCCACAGCTTCAGGTGGCGAGCTGTGGGCGGCCCCTCGTTCCGGAACGACCGGAGAGAAGCGCCGGAACAGCGGAGGCGAGCTAGGCGAGCTGGGAACGCCCCGGGACGTTCGTGAGCCCGGCCGCGGAGAGCACGGGAGAGCCAGTCTTTTTTCGTGAGCCCGGCTGGGGGCAGGAGGAGACGGTTTGTTGATTGGAGGTAGGGTAGTCATAGTCTTAATGAGCACCTTCGGACCTTCCAACAGATGGCTTTTGGATTCTCTAAGAGGCTATATATAATAGATGCCTCTTGGAAGGTGCTGGATGGTTGGATGGTGTGGACGCCTTTTTGGAAAATGGCTGGAGTACGAAAAGGAGCTACGAAGGTCCCTTGAGTGGGGTGAAGTTTCTTTATTAGGTTTCGGTTGCGAAGCCGGAAAAGGAAGGGTTGAAACCATTGCCTTTTTGGCAATGCACCAGGTCGTATCTCTGTTAGAGGAGGATTTTGATGGTGCAAACCTATTGCAGCGGGGCGTCTGCCTGTCCTTTTTGACACTCATCTCCCAGCCTGATACCCTTGGCTAACTGGACTTTTGTTCTTAAGACTTAAGACATACACGGTGGGGGGGCAACGGGAACGACCTCCATACTCAAACACAGCGGAACAAGATGCTCAATCTTCCTTCAGGACCTTGTTTTTGACCTTTGAAAAGGATTTGTTCCTGAGCTTTTCAAGCCAAAGTGACCTCAGGTATCTCAGGTCACGACGACGACGGTCCCACGGGCCAATGCCGTGCCCACCTGGCCCAGGCCCTTTGCCGACGACTTACAGCATACGACCTGAAAATATGGGTGCAGGCGACCGTTGGTATACACTGCGTTGTTTGAACCGGATCATGGACTACGAGAAAGTAGGACGGATGTCGCGGCTACCATGGGTTTTCCAGCTTTGAGTTTCGGTTTTGACCCACCACCAACCACATGGCAAGTCTTTCTTGGGTGGATTTGTGCGTCACTTACCGATCGTTTGGATTGCTCCCTCACCCAAAACCCTGGCTAATTTCAACTCAAACTGTGTTCCAATGTCCAACGATGTTTTCTTTTTTGGGGATGCTGGGTCTGGGTCATTTTGGATGGTTTGCGGGAGAACTCGTCTTGGTCTATCCACATGGCAGAGCCAGCGGCCGGCTTCAGCACGAAGTCGCGACCTCTGTGACCTCCAAAAGGATGGGATTTGTTGAATGCTTTCCTCGAGACCTGGTCTTCCTCATGATTTTGGAGGCTTTAGCTGTTGGGCTGAGCTCAACGAGAGGACCGCGTCGTTCTTGTGGGGAGATCCATCTTGAGGCCTTTCGACCGGATGGATTCCTCGGCCGAACTCGGGCAGGCGGCTTGTTGCCCACCTATGAGCTGTGGGTGACGCTGCACGGAGGCAACGGACGCTGGCAGCAGGTGGGGGACGTCACATCGTGGTTGAGGCGTTCGATTTTGGTGGTGCCTGCTTGGTTGCTTGGAGGAGCGATAGAGTTACGAAGAGTACTGTTGGTGGGGTTTGAAGTGCGAATTGGTGGTGTGTGGCTTTTGTTCTCCAAAGTACCCGAGGCTCACTTTGTGACAGACCTGAACTCTGTGCATTCCACGGCCTCATACTATGGCCCAGCTGTGGTTGCACGACCAAGTGCAGTACAATGAGGTCCTTGGACCTTGATTCTTCGTTCCGACCGGTGACTTGGAAGAGGCTCGGAGCTCCGATGCCAGGTCCGCGCGCAAGAGCAATGGGCCAAGATGCTCTTGGAGAACGAGGAGTGGTGGTTCCGACCGACCCCGCGCCCGGTTCGGGGAGCGGTTCGGCGCCCAGCTTGGGGGTGAATGGACACCCCTTGACCGTCAACCTCTAAAGGGGGACAGTATACGTATAATGGGCACAACTTGGGTGGTGGTCGTGGTTCCGGACCACTTTTGTTGTTTTTTTGCCTCTGGGAGAAGCGGGTGACCTGGGTTCTGGAGAAGTTGATTCCCCAGGTGTGGCACGGAAGTCCGGGGTGTCTTTACCGCCAAAAATCAACGGAATGTTACATTGGCGACCGTGCATTGTGGACCTACTGCTCAGCATGGCCAGACATTTAGATTGTTTACCACAAACATGGAACCACTTTTCAGGATAGTGGGTGAAGCGTCAGTGAAGCGCAGCTCTCAAGACCTTGAGTCTGCCTTCCATGATTGCTGCAAAACACAATCAGCCGTTGTTTTGCACAAATCCTGCAAGTCTGCGCATTCTTTTCTCTTCCATGAATGTTACAAAAAACGGTTCCTCTTCTATGATTGTTTCAGAGAGTGGTATACTATATATAAAAATACTGTAAACTAAATATATACACCCTGGGAGTCAAAGACCATGTAAAAAATGGTCCTGAAAAGGAATTTCCTTTACTTCAGTCGGTCAAAATATAGTCTATTCTTTGGACTTATAGGGTATATATATATATATCTGTCTCTTTGCATAAGATCCAAAAGTCATTGATGATTTTCGGGTGTTGCGCAGAAAGACACCACCACATGATGGACTTCTAACTCCTATATCCGTATATACATATATATCCCGCCGGGTGAGTGTTTTTAGGGGCGGTCAGTACTCTGTTCCAAAACGGTCGCTGTCTTAACTAAACCTTCTTCCTTCCACGAGTCTGTCCCGAGTCTCTTACTTCAACACATCTTCCTAAGTAAGCAATTTATCTAATGTAAGGCAAATAAAATTCCAGACAGGTTTTTCACGAAAGTTAGCTGTAGCTAGCTGGAGTCTGTCTTGCTTTAGCGAGTCATAACCCCTGATATATCAGGCGCACACGTGCACCACATGCGCCCTCGCACACACAAGCCTGCCCCGACAACAGCTGCCATTCCAGCCACACTGCAACCTGAACCTCCTGCGACTCCTGAGGTCAGCGCCACGACCCCGCCTGCAGCAGCTTCCGCCGCATTGTCACCAGCTCCCGGCACGCCACCAACATCGCCCTCCGCGAAGCTCCTTGCGTCTCCCAAGAGCTCTCCGAAAGGGTTTACTGTCCGTCGCAAGAAGATTGCCGTTGGACTCCAGAGCACGAGAGTGACAACACAGTGCACATCATGATCAGTGCCTACGCCAGCAATGGCGCACTGGTGTCCGAACGTTTTGAAAGTGAGGAGCCCTGCCATGTTCTTGGCTTCTTGCAGCGCGGTTCTGCGAGCTCGCCATCCATCTCCTGCAAGGTCAAAGACGAGGTCCTCAAGTATGTCCACTCTATGGCGCAGGATCCTGAGGCCGACCCAAATCTCACTCCTCACAGCCTTGACGACTCGGTCCCTTGAACGACTTTGCCATTTTACATGCCTACCCATGCGCGTACTTCTGCATGCTGCTTCTTCTTCTTCTTGTTCCTCCGTGTTTTTGCTCCGGCTCCGCCACTCAGGTGCGTCTGGGGTGCTTCGGCAGCCCACCCCTATGTCTGTCCGCCATCTATGCGGGAGGAGGTGCTGACGGAGTGACAGCGGCGCTCGAGCACCTGACGGACGCCGCCCGATGGTGAGGGATGGTGGATAGGTCAATGGAAACTAGATCATCAAGCTACCCACACTTGAGGCTGCTTGGCGGAGACTTTTACAGTGAGACAACTCACAGCTCTGCAGGCGCCACGCTTCAGCCATCCAGTTTTTGGCGCAGTTGAGGCTGCAGCCAGCAAGGTGGGAGAGTCAGGGAGACAGGGGAAGAATATGTACATGGTGTATCAAAAGAATGTCGCAGAAAACAGGTTGCACTTCTGTTGTTCTCCAAATGATGTTTCGATGGGCTATTGTTGGCACATTCCCCATGTTGCTTGCAAGGTTGGGACACATGCCAATGCCTGGCTTTTGTGAGCCTTTGATGGTATTGTTTCGAAAAGCAGAATGTAGTTGGGTTTCAATTGGTTTCAATCTCTGGGGGGCGGAGTGGTGCACAGATTGTCCACGCTGCTCCAAAACCACAATTCCATCCTGGAACCCTGGGTGCTGGTGTGTTGGAACCCTTGCTTGGGTGCTGTCAAGTCCCACGCTGGAACCTCCGAACCCTGTCAGCATGCTGCCCTGAAACCCTTGAACCTTGGAACCCAAAAGGTGCTGTTGGGCGCTGTGATTTGAATGCAAGCTTGGGGTTTTGGGGGGCTGTGCCGCTGCAGTGTTTTTTTGCGCTGCTGACACACTGGGAGAGGCTATGAGACGCTATGAGAATGCTGCGTTGAAACCCTTGAGCCGGCGCCCCAGACAGTGCCAAAGATTGGCAGAAAATCAATGGCCAGGCTGCTGCTTGGTTGGGTGCTGTTCCGTCACGTGTCGTGTTTCTCCCTTGGTCCTGTACCTGCTGTTGGGTTGGAAAGCTGGGTTAATTGGACTACACCTTGGCATTGCTGGGCATCAAATGCCACTGTTGCTCGGAAGACAACTCACAGCTTTGCAGGCAGCGCCCAAGTGTCCGGTTGTAGCAACGAGGCCGCTGCAGCAACGTGAAATGCAGATGGTGTATGAAAAGCATGTTGCAAAAAGTATATCCCGCTTCTGCTGTGCGTTATCAAGGTGGTGCTTCGATGAGCTAGGCAATGCTTGACGCATTCCCTATGTTGTGAACCTTCTGATAGTTTTTTTGGGGTGCGATACACCTTGACATTGCTGGCTATCAAGTGCTATTGTTGCTTGGAAGAGGCGGCGCTGCAGGCACTGAAGCGAAACCGTCCGAGCGAGGCCGCGGCTACTGTAGCAGCAAAGTGATTTGAGCAAGGGCCAAAACATCCAATGAAGAGTTTTACAGGTGACACCATTGACTTTGTAAAGCTTTGCAATCACTGTGTGCAGCGATAGCCAAAAAGAGCAGGAAAAGGCTGAGTAATACCTTTGCCAAATGATGCCTAGCGATGCCTCAGAAGTCCAATCCTGGCCACCCCCCTGTTCCCCTACCCGCTGCTTCAGCACTTGTTCCAGATGGGTGCTCTTCGCCATCAAGCAAGACCGTAACCAATGTTCTTCATGAAGCAAAGCTGCGCGGAGTAGAGAGATTTGGCATGCTTCGTGTGAGCATGTGTAAACTGATGGGGATGTCAGCTGACTTGACATGCAGTCTCAGGCAGAGATCTCCGAGGATGTCACTGAGCCGAAAAGGGGGTACGGTAGTTGGAGCACCGCCCATAGAGGGTCGTGGTGTTTCGTATTGTTTTTGATGTTTTTAGGATTTTTCCTGTGATAAGCATGGGTTGTATTGACACGAAGTGCAATGCAGTGGAGTTCCCTAGGATGAACACTGTCTCGAGAGTTGTCCAAAGGACAATGCATGGAAGCTTGTCAAGTACAGCGACGCGCGTGAAAGCAACCGGCTTCTCCCGGCTTGAGCCAAATAAGTCATGTACAAGCGTGACAGGTGAGGTTAGCTGTAAGCAAGAGCAAACACAGGGGTTGGGGCCGGGCAACGTCCGTTCTGGATTGAACCGATTCCTCGGAAATAAGTTTCCTGTCACTTTCAGGGTCAAAGGACGCAGAAAGAAAGCTTGACCCAGCTTTGATAGACATTATTGCGACATTATCTTTCAGCTTTTTTCCCGACAGTCTGTGATGCCTGCGACTCCGGCAGAGTTCTACTCAGCTTTGAAAAGATGGCTGAAAGCGCACGGACCCTGAGAGCATCAGCTTGAAAAGAGCTTCGTGCGGTCATAGACATCCAGCAATGATCGAAGAGACGGCCCTCCAAACGTGTCAAAAATGATAGTTGGGGGCAACTTCTTTTGACTGCCGACGTCGCAATTCTACTGTGGAGTGCATTGGAAAATGGTTCCCCAATGTAATTACGCTATTCAATCCTTGAAAACCTGAGCGCATTTTCCCAATCTAATTCCGTGCATCTAAGACATGCTGATGATCCACCGCCCTGGTTGGTGGGACTTACATCAATCGCCCGACGCCACTGAAAACCCCGTGGTTGACTCATGTGACTACGCTTATGGGAATAATAGCCTTTCTTTACATTTCAATCCTTTTCCTCAACAGTTCCCCAGATGTTGGCCTTTGGCAGCAAGAACAAACTACCGGTCAAAACAGACAAACGCATGGTCCACGGCGTTTCGGATTCTTCCCCATTGCAGGTTTTTGTGATGGAGTAGTCGGCGGAACCAAATAGATAGATACAGTAGATAGATAGATGGATAGATAGATAGATAGATAGATAGATATATAGATAGATAGGTTTTGTCCCACCAACGTGGAGAAGAAACACTCCATCGCCGCCGTTTCCAGAACGGAGGTCCACCCCTTTAGAGAGAGCATCTGAAGAGAGCGGTCGCTCCATACGAAGGAAGGAGCACGTTCCGCGCGGAAGGCCCACGGAGCACGGAGCCGAAGAGAATTGGCACTCCAGGTCAGAACGATCAGGCACACACAACCTCAGTATTTGAATGTAGTGCAAACATGGCGAAAAAAACACAAAAAATCAACAACAACAACAACCGACCCCTAAAGGACTCCAAGCTTGATGGGTCCAACCTTGAGAGAATCCATAGGAGCTGGCACATATTTACCTTTGTTTAGATGGAGATAATCACCACCTGTAGGGATAATCACCACCTGTCCATGTAGGCCAAACTTCCCCGGTCCCAACGAGCCAACGAGTGCTTTCGACCGCCCCAGGACGCCCTGGTGGCGCGGAAACTCGAAGCCGAGAAGCAGCGCCTGCGCCGCGCCGAGGCGGTCGACCGCACCGGTCGGCGGGACCTTTAGTCTTTTGAATCTATTATACTTTGTTTTTTAGATACATTATTTATATAATCTTAACACCATAGTAACAGTAGTTACTATATACAGTATATATAAATAATATGCTATCAATTTATTACATGGTCCTTTTCTGCACGCCCTAAGAATCCGGTGCCTCCAATGCACAGGGCCTGATGTTTGGGGTCGTTCTGGCGATGGCCTCCGATCCTTTGAGGTTATGGCGGTTTCAGAATCGATGGCACACACCGAAAGATGTCTGTTATACAAGGGTCCATATCAATCACCCAACTTGGGGGCCCTTGTGCCATTTACTCCCTCTGAAACCAAAGGGTTCAGACCTTCCGGTTCGGATCGGGCTCGGTGGCTCGATCTGGGCGACCCTGTCGGACTGGGAGGAGGGAGCCCCAGCGACTCTGGGGCAGTGTCTTGTTGCCGGCATCGCATGGGGCGGACGAAAAGCGAAAGGTCCAGGTGGATCTGGGAACGGAGTTTCTTTCTTTATTTTTCCTCGCCTGCAGTGCTCTGGGAATCCGCGGAATGGTCACCGATGATCCCAACTTTGGGGATGAAGACCATCCAACCAGTTCGCACCTTGCTTCCGGTAGAGACTGCAGGGATCCCCGGGAAGAAGTTCGAACAAGTTACTCAGCGGTGACCAGTGGCCTGGCTTGACTGAAGGCTAACAAGGCTTTGGTGTCTTTTTCGTGGTGCAAGGCAGTATTCGCAGTTTCGTATTTAGTTTGGTATCTGCCCAGGCGCGTCGAAAACTGTTGACTTAACGCGTTTCACCCAAAAACAAGGGAAGTAAGTGCAGGCAGTTCCTTGCAACCACCCCAGAACATAACAAAGCATGGATTAACCCATTGAACGTTCAGAAGACACAACAGGCAAAGACCGTCACGACATAAACTCACCCCAAAGTTCCAATCGAACGCGTGTCGCGTGTGAAACCAGTCATTGAAACCACGGGTTTCATCACAACACGTGTTTTTTTGGGTCGAAGCCATGAATCATTAAAACAGAGTGCCTTGGGTCTGTTTCGCGCCACGAGCTTGCTCGACCGACCAGGCGGCACGGCAGCGGCGCGCGGAGGAAGAGGAGCTGAGCCGCCGGGTGGAAGAGGCGTCAAGACGGGCGTCGAGACGTGTCCTTTTTATGAACGTGAGCAGTGGCCGTGGTAAGACATGGTTTAGTTTTAAGACATGGTTTAGTTTTAGTTGGGATTCTAGCCTACCAGAAACTGAAGGCGTGGACTGGTGGAGATCTGTGAGTGGGCACACTAGTCGAAAGGACATTCAACCATGTCTTGGTAGCAGTAAAGTGGGTGTGATCATGCGAGGAGTTTCCTTTATAATCCTTTATATATGAATATACAATTTTCTTGACTTGTTTGGCTGCAACCTTTTGTCTTGGTAGCAGTAAAGTGGGTGTGATCATGCGAGGAGTTTCCTTTATAATCCTTTATATATGAATATACAATTTTCTTGACTTGTTTGGCTGCAACCTTTTGCTGACATGACTTTGTTTTGGACCTTTGTTCAAGTCTCTTTTGACGAGTTTGGTTGAGACAATATTGCTTACGCAAATAGCTTTGTTTTGTCTTGGAACGCATGCGGAACTTCAACGAACTGTTTTTGTGTTCAAGGAATGTTTGATCAGGGAGACTCTTTATGTCGGTGAAGTGAGGGCCGAGTCGTACCGAACCTCCTTCTCAGGAATGTAGATCCCTATGGCCCTAGGGTATAGATTGGTGTGTGTGCAATAGGGAGGCTTTCCATGGCTTGCCCACCCAACAAGGTACCTCCCCCAAACAGGACGGGTCTCCGGTTGCCACATGTTCGACACGCGACACGGTGGGCACGGGGATTTCCCTCCCGGTCCTCCAAAGTTCTTGGGTTCTATTTCTGGGCCTGTATATATATATATATATATCAATGAATTGGTTGAAGGGAACATTTGCAGGAAACCTTGGCTTTCACCCCCAAAACCATCACTTTCCAGATTTTCCCTTAAAGCCAATTCCGTTGATAGAGACTGGCCCCGAACGTGCCGTTGTCTACTTTGTGTGTCATCTGTCTTTTTTCTTGAATCCGATTTGCTCTGGGAAGAGACCGTCTCTTCCACAGAACCAGCGCCAGCACGTGCCATCACCACGGACGGCTTCCTGTTTGTTTGGACACCTCGGGTGGCGGGGTCCCTTTCTTACGTCCTGGCGGGGGTGTGGACCGCACGTTCCAGGCCGAGGCAGACAAGAAGCGGCGCCGGGAAGAAGAGCAGCGCTTGCAGCTGCAGCGAGAGGAGCTGGCGTCGCTGCGCTGTTCGCGTCCGGTGTGGTCGATGCGAGCTAGACCGCGGAGCTCGGCGGTCTTCGAGCTGTTCTTGCCTGTTTTCTCCAGTGAGTCGCAGGGGAGGAGAACATCTGACTCCCATCCTGTTCAGCTTCGTCCCTCTCCAGGAAGAAGCTCGAAGAGCTCGGCTGGAAGAGGAACGATTACTGGAGTCCATGAAGACGCTCGGAGTGGTCGTAGAGAAAAACGCAGACATGTCAGACTGGAAGGCTGAAGCCGGGGGATCTACAAGACAGAACCATGATATAGATTGACAGAGTATGATATAGTTATATACTGCAAGTTATATGGAACACAGAAGATGGGGGCTTTTTTGGGGCGGAAAGGGGAATGCCACGCAGGGTGTGATCTATAGTTCATCATAGACCCCCTGCGACAAGGTAGTTCCCCTCCTGAGCCGATACATACGAGCCTGTCTGGATTTGATGTGGGATTTGATGTGGTCCTAAACCTAGGCCATTGGAATGTCTTTCTTTAAACAATGAAACAGATGCGTTCTGAATCTCTGAAGGCAGATCAACCGCTTCCATTTTCCAGTTCAGGTGGGAAGTTGCCGATCTGCAGAGAATCTACCCTCAACACACATGGAAGGTGGAACATGGCCTCTTAGAAGAGCAGTCTAGTTTGAGGTTGGAACTCTGCCTCTATGGGGTCAATAGAAGTTTTCAATAGTTTCAAGGTTGGGCCCTCCCCCAAAGGCTTTTCCCAATTCCTGCCAAGCCAAGCTCCGCAAGACTTCCAACCACCCCACATACATCAACTCCACTTGCTCCACTTGCTTTGGCACCATGGGATCGGTGCCTTTCTTTTCAAAGGCCACGCAAGTGTACGAAGTGCTCGGGCACCGGGCGCTGTAGCAATTGTCAGGTGGGGGCGCCGACCGGAGTGCTCCGCGGGACCTCGCGGGAGTTCGGGCTGATGGAGTTGACGGAGAGCAGCGTCTTTTTTTCTTTAGGTGGGTGCCGGAGGCTAGGGGAGTGAACGTGAGCACCTGAAGAAGGCGTTCAGCACCTGCTTGTACTATTTTCGGCCAAGGGGTGGCTCTTCCACCATCTTTGGCCGTGCGGAAGCGAAAGCTATGGTAGGTTGACATCCCGACATACAGAGGATTCTATTCAGGAGCAAATAACAATTACTGTGTATAATACCCTTGCAGGTGGAAGAACAAGATTGTGAATTTGAGGTAGGATCTCATTCTGTTGAGCCAGGTTGTCAC